CCTAAAACGGCTCGTTCTAACACGCCCCCACATACCTACGTCCCTATCTGGGAAGATTTGCATAACGCCGCCCAAATGTTCACGCAAAGAAAGAAGGCGTAACTTTTATTCTCGTTTTTGTCTCGTCGCTTCGTCCGGGACACGGCATCAACAGTATGGTGAGGTGCGTAACATTTCCGTCTCACGCTTGAGGTATTCGGCCAATCACAACGCATTGGATAGCTGGCCAATCAGAGCACACCTCGCTTTTTCAGACCGATGAGCTTTGTAAAAATCGACGCGTTTCAAAAAGGCGGGGCATAGAGGAGAAACAATAATGTACAGTATGTGGAAAATAATGTGTTTTTTTAACTTTAAACCGCATAAACACATTTCATTACACCAAATACACAAAATAATGATCTTTTTAGCAGCATCATATGACCCCTTTAAATCAGATGTTTGTTTCATGAGTGTAGCTGAACATCTTAAAAACCAAAAGTAGAGTAAACCTTATTGATCACCGTGAGAAGGGAAACTGCAGAAGCAAAAATAAATTCTGAGACCATGAGTGAAAATAATTCTATTTTGCAGTTTTCGAATTTAATGCAGTTTTTTTTATTACAAGTTGTTATATTATCAGCAGGATTTGAGAACGAAATTCCCAAGAGCATTTTGTGTGTCAGGTAACAAAATCTGACTTTTCAGCTGCTTCCTTTTGTACTTTAAAATGTGGTGTCAGAGTTTTGGACCCCAACAATTATGTAAAAAATAAGCAAAAATGTAAATATTAAGTAGTTATGATCTGAAAAATACATATTGTGTTTATAGTAATAGTTTGTAGTAATTAAAACATGTTTAATACTTTTACAGTACAGTACCGTTCAAAAGTTTGAGGTCAGTACGTTTTTTGAAAATAAATGAATACTTTTATTCAGCAAGGACACAATCATTTGATCATAAGTTATGTATAATGTTTATAAAAGTTTATTTCAAGTAAATGCTTTTATTTTGAACTTTCTATTCATCAAAATATTTTAAAAATGTATCACAGTTAAATATTAAGCAGCACAATTGTTTTTAACTGAGATAATAAGAAATATTTCTCAATCACCAAATCAGGATATTAGAATGATTTCTGGAGGATCGTGTGGCACTGAAGACTGGAATAATGATGCTGAAACTTGTTATGCCATCACAGGACTAAATTACATTTTATAAATATATTAGTAGAAAACAGTTATTTTAAATTATATGTCCTGATATTACTGTTTTACTGTATTTTTGATCAAATAAATGCAGCGTTGGTATTAGTGGTCGACCGATATATCGACAAGGCTGATATATCGGCCGATATTTGGCATTTTTCAAATATCGGCATCGGCCGATACGTTTTTTTTGTTTGGCCGATGTGTTCGATGCGGGACTTTTATTTTGACGGCACTGAGAACGGCAGCATCTGAGTGCACACCGCTCAAATTCTCCTTCTTGTTCGCTGTCGTCGTTCAGTTCTGTCTAATATGGATAGAAGTCTATCTAATAATGAGATAGAACTGTTAAACAGGAATTAAAATGTATACAAAAAAGTATTATAACGATTGATTTAATATTATTAGTAATAGAAAGGCAAACATTATAATACTTTCTCATTTGCCGTCAACATTCAGTAAATACGCATTAATATCTTTTAAACAAATCTTTGAATGTCTAATAAACATC